ACGGTGCTGTCTCGCTCCGGGTAATCGACGCAGTCTCTGCTGGACTAAATACCATGGACGGTGCCGCCGACGTTTTATACGATTGTGCCAAGGACTCTGTATCAGGCTGCCGAGAGAGCGGAAGCGTCGGCGTAGAGCCGCCCGCTTCCATGAGGCCTAATTGTGTAGACGATTCTGAAGCGCGCGTGCTCAGCGCGAGAGACCCGCTATCGCTTCCTTGGAAGGATTTATTTTCAGGTGCGCCCCCCGGGAAAGACGGCGTCGTGGGGGGGTCCGGGGTCTTGTCTCCTTTGCTTCTGGCTTTGAACAACTCCCGGGGGAAGTCGGCAACAGCCATGCCGATGTTGCTAAGGTCCGCCACGAGCGAGGTTGCCACCGCGGAAACAGGATCCCACGGTTGACCTTCTGTTATGTACTCCTTGGGTCGGTAGCTGCGAATTGTCAGTTATCGGCACACGATTCATCGGCAGGAGAACTTACAGCTTGAGGTCAGAGTACTTTATGAGGCCATTATCCACGAGAACGGCAGCAGCCATGGGACTTAGTCTGACCTTTGTCCGCCTTACACGCCAGGCGGCGGTTCGGCTGGGCACAATGGAACATCTGAGCTCATCAGTATTCAAATGGTCGTGGAAGCTCTTCCCGCCCAAATCAGTTCCCTTCTCCTCGCGGATCTTCTGTCCAAGCTCTTGTGCCCTGGCTTGAGTCTCGGGCCTGATGGCGAAGTTGATGGCTTCAGCGAGCTTGTCTCCGCTAAGTTCCTTGTAAGGAATCGGATCCGGCCCAGCACCGGCCTTCGAAACCATGGCTCCCCAAAACGGCTGATCACCAAAAAACGGTACGATGATGGTAGGCTTGCCGGCTTGGATACCAGCAGCAGTCGTACCAGCGCCACCGTGATGACAAACAGCCGACACATGCTTGAACAGCCAGTCGTGCGGTACGTTACCCAGCATGAAGACACCTGGAGGGAGTCCTACATCCTCGGCACCGAGACCACCCCAGCCCTTGGAAACCAGCGCTCGAACGCCGGTCCGATGAACGGCATCGAAAATCATCCTGGTTAGGGCATTGGGGTCGTCAACTACAATGGAACCGAAACCAATGTAAACGGGAGGAGGTCCAGCGGCCAAAAAGGCAGCCAGTTCAGGCTCGGGGGTAAATGCCGATGCCAAATTCAGGAAGTAGAACCCGGAGATATCAATCTCACGGCCCCAGTCGTTCGGCTTCGGAATCAAAGCCGGCGACCAGCAGTACGTATAAGGGATCCTAAGCCTCGTCAACACACCAGGAGCCCATATCAACGACATGGGCTCCAAGTCCAGCGCCTTCTCTCTGAAGCGATTGATGACGTCGCCTAGACCCTGCCAGGTCATCATCTCGACCAACGCGTACGAAACGTAGTTGGTCATGACGGCATCGGTATTTGTCGACTGGATGTTGGCCAAAGGGTGTGGGAAAGCCCGGGTTGGCGTCCACGGCATAGTAAACATCAGATGCAGCGGAATGCCCATCTTCTCGGCAATGTGGATGTGCGCAAAACTCGGAGGATTCGCAATGATCGCATCCGCCACGAACGGCTTCTGGTTCGGTTCTCCGGGTATCCCGTAATTCTCGTCCAACGGCTGATTCCTGGCATGCGGCTTGGGCGGTGGCCCCAGCCCGTCGCCAGCCTCGATACATGACCGCCAGCACCCGAGAAGGATCTCTTGAATGCCCCTCCGGCGCTTGCTGACCTCACCACTCTTGAGCGTGTCAAAGCCGGGCATCAGCCCGGGGTTTTTGACCATGAAAGCCATGAGCTCGGCGGGGTCGCCGCCGATGCAGAAGAATTCGAGTCCATTCTCTTCAACAAACTTTTGGAACGTTGCGTGCGTGGCTATGCGCACGCGATGGCCGTACGTGTCCTTGAGGACCTTGCCGAGGGCGACGAAGGGCTGAACGTCGCCGCGGGAGCCGACGATTTGTATGACGAGGTTGAGTTGCGGCGGGGGGGTCTGGCCCGGTTGACCTCCGAGGCTCGGGGGGATGTAGGCGGGCGGGAGGGGGCCCTGGGGACCCTGGGGGCGCTTGTCAGCGAGGAGCTGGCTTCGTAACGTCGGGGCGAGGATCTCTGCAAGGCGGTTGCCGCTCTGGTTGATGTTGATATTTACTCGACCGTCCCCTGGTATCAACTGTTAGCGAGCCTCGAGGTCTGAGTGAGGACAGATGGGAGTTTCTGTACCAGTGACATTTGCGCCGGCTTCGAAGCCCGCCTGGCTGAACTGCAGCTGGTTGTGAAGGTCGCCATAAGCGGGAGGAGCCTGGTTGTCTGTCTCTAGGGAGGGCAAACTGAAGCCATCAGAGACGAGGGCATCGGGCACTTCCTGGCTGTCGGTTATGTCGAGGTTCAGATCGCTATGTCGCAGGGGCGGGGGAGGGGCAGAGTAGCTCGCGCCCGCTTCTGTCTTGTGGACGACCGTCATTGCGGGGAACGTCAGCTTGTCAACCAGTCAACAAGAGGTGGAAGGACCAGCGACGATATCAGCAAGTTTTCTGGTATACGCAGAAAGATCAGATCATCACGATAGGCCGCTGTAGGCGGTGAAGGTGCCGCAGGCTTGTAGTTGTAGTAGCGAAAGGAAGCTGGTGGACGGAAAGGGCACCATCCAAGTCCAATAGAATCCGCGACCGAGTAATGCGGCAAGCAAACCAGAATGGCGAAGCAAAGCGTGCGTTTCTTCAGTGACGTGGCTTAGGGTGTGTATCAATTCGAAGAAAAAAATTGGCAGCAACGATGGGAGGCACGAGCGAGAACACCCATCCCAAGTGTTCAGTCCCGTTTCTTCATCGGAAGATGGTCAAGCTTACGGCGAGACCCCGGAGCTTCAGTGGAGGGCGGGAATGGGCAGTGGTGGGGTGTTACCGCCGGAGAGGGAGCCACAAGCAAGTTCCCCTCTCGGTTTCCAAGGCCAGTGTAGGGGAAATCCCCTCCGAATCCAATGCACCGCCTCACGCAATAGCATTGAGTAACTACCCTAGGGAGTAAAAAAAGGATGGCGACGCGCAGGCTGGGCATTCACAGGGCGCCTCTGCTCTTCTCCCCGGGGGAGCGACAGCCATGACGTCTGCCTCCGTCCAATTGGACTGGGGGGAAGGAACTCCAAGGCCCTGCTGAGCCAATGACGGGATCTTGATGGGACGATTCAAGCAAGGTTCGTCGCATGGAACCCCGCACAGCCACAGAGGAAGAGACGGGAGGGGAGATTGGGGCCCCTATCAGTACTACATAGGTACGCGTCTCAGGCTCTTAATGATGCGGATTTTGAGAACATGCTTCTAGGCAGCGATAAACTGCGCCTTGATGCTCGTATTGTCGGTTCTCTTTACGCGTAGGGACACGTGGAGGCCGTATCTGCTCCTTAATGGACATTTTTATTGGTTTACCACATCGCGGCAAGCGATAAAGGAAAGGATGACTGCGAGCCAACGGAGTTTTGCAGTAATGGCCGAAATCCGCCGCTGAGCTATAGCCCACATCAACATGTGAGCGGTTATGACATGGTTACAGCTACGACCTTCAACAGCGGCGTACACGGATAAAACATCACGACGTGCCACTAGTCGCTTCGGGTATCGGAGCCCTCTTGCAGAATGAGAAAAAGGGGCGGAGAGGTGGTGGAAGTGCTAACGAGAAGGCTGAATACAACTGTCGAATTTTCCCTAGGAACAAAATGCATCAACAGAGAAATGAGCCCAAAAGAAAAGCAAACGACAACACGAAGAGAGCCAATGTGGAGCACTCACAAGGGTTTTTACTTAAACACAAAAATGCAAAAGTTGAGGTTCTCCCCTTCCAGAATCGAACTAGAGACCTTTCGATGACAATGAAACCATTACAGTCGAACGTGATGAACCAACTACACCAAGGGGAGGAGACAGCTAAGCTGCTCTTGGTGGATCGTTGCAAATTTCCTAAAGCATAATACTTATCAAGGATACACCTTCGTGGCTGGTGTACTGGAGTGGGTTTGATTAGGTCCTCCGTCCCTTAGACAATGATTGGTCGAGGATGGCGGAAGCGTGGAGAAGAGTTGAGTAAATGGCAGCAATAGTTCCGCCAATAGAGTTTTGCCGTGCAGAAGTAAGGGCTTGGCAGCTATGGGTTAACCTTTCAACTCAATTGTCTTTTCGTATGGGTCACCCAACCTAAATCACTGGTGCCTGTGGAGTACCGTAAACAATGTCATTGAAAGATTGATGTCTTCTCGTTTCACTCAAGATGGCCCGACTCATTGAGCCTCCGCTCGGAGCTTTGAAGGATAGTGGGCTATCCATAAACTCCACACTGTTAGATGGTGCGACCACTGTGGGACGCTGGTCCAGTTTTCCTCGAGCCGGGAAGCTACCATCCCCAGAAGATCGAGGTCGCCACAGGGATGATAGGCTGTCACGGAGTCCAGGCTGAGATGCGAGTAGCTCTACACGCTCTTCTTACAGGGACCTCAAGAGATACAGGTGTGATTACGATGGTTGCGCTGTCTCAGAACTCCCATCCCTGGGTTCTGTCCTCTACTTCAGAACCTAACTTCTTATTTGTCGGCATTGTCGAATTACCGAAGACAAAGCAGACAGCATCTTGGGTTCCAGAAGTCGCATTCGACGGCCTAGACTAGAGATGTAATGGAAAAGAAAAAGGAGGTATAATACAGCGGCGCGCATCAGTCATGCTCTTCTCCCTGCCACCCGCTCCTCGAACCGAATGCCCTTATCCCTTGAGCTTAAGCACGCGCCCACTGTACATTATCGTGAAAAGTTGCTTTTATGTTGTTTTCGACGTCAGATGTCACTCCCCATGCGTCCTAGGGCGAACCGGTGCCCGTAGACACGCATTGTCTCCGTCACGACGTCGCTGGAGTACGGTCACATTTCGCGTGTCCCCATCTCTCTCAAGGCTCGCGAGCTTTCAGCCCCAAAGCTGGGTTCCGTAGCCACCTCTCTCGGCCCTCTCGATTCACTCCTTAAGAGGAGAATTTGCGGGTAATCTTAGCAATGACTGGAGAGAATACGTCAGCTGGCTGGGCTCCATTTGCGGGCGTAAAGTGCCGAGGCAAAAAGTGGCAGCTTACTGTGAAGAGCAACAACGCTGAAAATGAAAACAAGGGAAAGAACCAGGACAACGACGGGGTCGACCTTGAGGCCGGGAGACTCGTCAGTGTAGAGTCCTGCATTGCCAACACGTTAGCATCCGCTTCAACTGGTACCAGTAATCTCCACGAGCTGTCCGTTCTCCTCATCTTCGCTTCCACGTGGAGCATTACGGGGAGACATACTCAGCATGGTGCTGCTGCTGCCACCGGCACCGGCAGCCCTCGTGCTGTTCGGCCGCGCATTGGCAATCTTCTCCTTCTGGTCGGCAGCCGCACGGCGACGAATGGCGGTGCGAGGACCACCGGGGGGGGTAGGGGACGAAGGGCGCGCGACGCTTGCGCCAGAGGCGGCGGCGCCGGGCGCGTTAACGGGCGAGGAAGGGCGAGGGGAAGACTGCCATTAAAAACCCATCGTCAGCCATTGTTCACGTCTGTTGCCCGGTGCTTCAAAGCGACAACACAAGCATCGCTGCCTAGCAGACGGCGGGCTAAAACCGCATCAATTGACAAGCGCGTGCGACAGGAAGTCATTGACGACCGGAGCTCAAGCTATCCCAGGGGAGTGCAAGAGTATTTACTAACCATTATGAAGGAGTGTGACGAGAAACAGATCCAAGAATCGCTGCAGGATTACTTTGGGAAATGGCAGTATAAACGGAAAGAAAGACGGCGTGAAGGGAAGAATCGGCTTTCGGGGGGTGGATGTCGGAGGGCGTGATGATGGGAAATTCAAGCTCCTAGGGGTGATGCACATGCGCTCAAAAGTGGCAGAGTTGAGGCCACAGTTTTGGAAAGGGGACCACGCCGCGGAGCCGCGGTGGCCAGTGGGATTTTCCGTCCCGACGTCCAGACCCCAGGGTACGTAGATAGACTAACTACAGCGTACGGAGTACCTACCTAGCAAGGGGGCGGCGAACCTGCCTGAATGGGGTTTGTCACCCTCTTTCCCCCCCTCTAAAAAAAAGACTCCACAAGGCCTTCCACCCCAGTCCTGACGCGACCATTCAGGTTTATTGCATGGCAGACATGGTTATCCCGTCTTGTAATCATGCAACACATGCATTTCGACCATCGCTTGAACAGCAGCCTTTTTCTTTCTCGTGTTTTTTGAACGATTTGAATTGAATTTGAGGGTACTGTATGTTTAGGAAGCAGCTGCTCTTCGCAGTAGAAACCCCTTGTAACTGGTTGCGCCAGCTTCTGCAGCACTTTGTGAAATACAACACACGACGCAAAGCTATCTCACAACTACTATGTTCTTTCCTGCTCTCTCTCCTCTCTCTTCCTCTCTCTGTGTGTCTCTCTCTCTGTCTGCCTCTGTCTCGCGCTCTCTTCCGCTGGACTGGTGCCGACTATACTGGCAGTGAAATAGAACGTCTGCTTGCAGACTCCGGGGAATGGGTGATGGTGGTGGTGTACGATTCAAACAACATAGAGAATTGAACAAAGAGAAAATCAACAGCCTGCCACGTAGAGGGCGACCCCTTCCAATTCCAACACATGGACCAAATGGTATCCCTAGCCGCCTTTTTTTCGTGATGACTGGTCTTTGACAGACTGGTATCTTTCGTTGTGGATTCCTCGAGCGCATGTCCGAAGCGCTGCCGTCAAAGAATCACCGGAATGACGGACGAGCGCCAATGCTCCCCGTCCAGGCCATACCAAGCTCCAAAGTACCATACTTTTGTCCACCTTCCCGGTCCCAGGTGCCTCGATGGAGTTGTCATCCTTGTGGCCCGTTGAGTGTGGCCCTGGAGCTTGCTGCGTAAAAGCCGCTGTTAGCTGGCTCGACGGTCTGCTACCTCCGCTAGTGCGTGCTCATTATAAGGTATGATTAGACAGTGATACATCTACACCTGCTGGAAACCAATCATCGCAACCCAAACGCCTTCCGCTATGATGGGACCGCGGTCCTGCAAATTTCTTCGGAGGTGATGAACGAAGAAAAGAAATTGGTATCTTTAGCTTCAAAGTGTAACGTCGAGGACCAGGCTGACGTCCTGGACGTCCGACTTTGCAAGGTCTTCTAGAACGGGAATCAAGTCCAGCAACTCGTTGTCGTGCGCGTCCGAGAACCAACTGCTGATGGGAACGGCGTGTTGGGGGTGAAAGATGTACGAGGTGGGTGAGTTGTCGATAATGATGGTGTCCTTCAGGTCTCTTCCCACCTGGGAAAGATCCTTGACGTAGTTCCCTTGGTGGTTGTAGCAGCTCTCGCGGAAGAGTCTATGGTGCACGACTTTGTGGATGTCCAGCTGATCCAAAAGGGGGTCGCCATACTATACACGGTCAGCAGTTGTTCGGAATGGGTTGCGTCGGATAAATACCTTGGAGACAGACGCAGTGAAGACAACGACTTCATAAAGCTCTCCTACGCGCTTCATGAACTGATCGACGCCTGGTCTCTTGATAACGTAAACATTATGATAGTTGCCCTCGATCTCTACGGGAATGGTGAAATCGGCTTGGTGAAGAATCTGCAGGCCAGTCAGCAACATTGTACGTGATCTCTCGTGGGGAAGCATGAATTACCTTGAAGGAGCTGTGTACGAGCGTCTCGTCCAGATCGAGAACAAGGCATTTCCTGCCCTTAAACTCTGGCGCAATGGGGGGCAGCAGAAACTTCTGCTCGGATTCGAAAGCGGTATCGACGTGTGCCGATGCATTCGGAGCTGGTCCAGGTGGAGGTGGTGGCAATTGTTGGCTCGTCGGCGCATCTTCTACCGGCGGCGGGATTTCATGCTTCACTTCGGCTACGGGCGTCGCATCCGGCATCGCCTCATCTTCCTCAGCATCATTCTTGGACGTCTCCTCCTCCATCCTCTGGCCAGTGGTAGACTCGACTGTGATGGCCGGCGCAGCACCACTGCTGGTGGCAGCAGCGGTTTGTTTAGAATCTCCGGCGTCGCCGCCAACGATAGTATCATCGGCCGTGGTCGCGCCGGAGACACGCTTGCCCTTTGCCTCGTTCATCGACATTGGTTGCTCGGGCTGAGGTTGCTTCTCCTGGATTTGGGGTCTGATGGATGATGACGGCTGCTGTTGCTCCTGTGGGGTCGGCTGCCGGGACTTGGCGGTTGTCGGCCTTGCGGGCAGCTTGTCGAGCTTGTGGACAGCGTCGTCACCGTTCTCGATCGCGTTTGCATTATCGGGGACTCCGCAGCATCCAAAAAGGGCAAACAGTCCGCCCTTCTTCTTCTTCTGCGGGGGGTTCACGGGAGAGTTCGGTAGGGTATTGCCGGGGGTGTTGGTCGGTTCGGTTTCGACGCCGGATCGGTGGCTTCCAACACTGCCATTTCGATGCCGTCCCAAAATGCTGCCCTTGGACTCCTTGGAGCGTCCGCCGATGCTATTTCTCGAGTCGCTGACTGTTGCTCCGCTCAGCCCCGTCGACGTGGGAGAGGATTGATTGCGCTGCGAGGAAGACCGAGACGGTACATGCAGCAAGCTCCTACCCTTCTTTGAATTTCCACCCTCCTCTGGTGCCACAAGCACCTTTTCTTTGGACATGTCTTGACTTGACTGGCCGTTCTGTCGAATTTCTAGTGTGATGTCGTCGGCTGGGTTATGTGATTGTGGCTTCTCGGGCATAATGTTATCGAACTAGGTCGGGCCCGTTAGCGAAGACGCCCTGGCGAAGCAGATGAATGCAGACATTGAACGACGATTCTCACGAGGGGCTGGCACAAGCCCCATTAGGCACCTCTAGATCATCCATGACACCATCCTCTCTCGCTCTCATTCCAAGGTCTGAGACAAGGCCGAGGTCGTGCTGGCGGTCCTGTGGGTACTCGACGCGGATACAAACGATGCGCGTGCAAATGAAGCGGCCGGGCGGCCAAGCATGCCTCTCCTCCAGCATGGCAGCATTGCGCAAAGGCAGCGGTGGATAGACATTGCATATGCTGCGTCGTCGAATGCAAAGTACGGAATAGAAAAAACTGTCGTCACTTACCTCCTTTCTTCTTGGGTCCGGCGAGCCTTCCCAGAGTCCTCAACCCCTGAGCTCAGCAGCTGATGTCGGCCGTTAAAGGCCGATTCGCAGTGCTCGCGGGCGCGGTCCAGAGTGAAAGTAATTGTCAGGGACTGAACGATCGACGGGGTGAACGATGAATGGAATGGGAGGGAAGGAAGGGAAAAGGCGACGACGGTCCGTTGAGGTAGTCGGTCGAAGGCGGAGAATGGAAGATGGTTTGGGCTCTCGGTCGCGCAGGAAGAGGCGCCAATGGAATGACTAGGTGGGCGAGGCGAAAGTGGCTGGGCCTTTTTTAGGGGGGGGGAGGGATGGATGGTTACGGCGGCCAATGTCAGTTAGAGTCAGTCAAGTCAGTTCCCCCCGGGTCAGTTGTGCTTGGTAGTAGTGGCGGTCGAATCAGATGGGAAGAAAAGTGGGTAGTGAAAGGGCGAGCGGTTGCAGGGAATAACAACTATAAGCGTCGACGGGGATAGAAATAAGGGTTCGCAACAGCGACAAGTGAATGGACTGGTTTGGTTTGTTTTTTCAACAGTTATCGAATATCGCTCGAGGGCTCTGGTCGAGGCCGCGGCTGAAGCGGGAAACGTCGAAGTCGAGGCTTCTGGGGAGCGCGTTGATGATGCGAGAAAGGAAGAAATGGAGCAACGACGGGCGTGCAACAAGACTGGAAATTGGGGGAGCGGAGTACAAGAGGGGGGGAGGGGCGTTAGTTCAAAGAGCAAAGCAATTAAAGCATGGCCAGTGAAAGACAAGGCACGAGTGAGCGCAAGAGAGTAACGGTAAGAGAAATGGGAGAGACCCAAGGGGGGGAGAATAACTAGGCTAGGTAGGTAGGTAGAGAGGACGTATCAGAGGCTGAAAGACCACGAAAGGCACAAGCGAGATGATTTGCCTTTTCACAGCAACACATGGATGGGTTGGGGAGCATTTAGGGGCCAGGTGCTGGTCCGTGTATCCAGACAGATGCATACTACTATGGATATTCGTACATGGCATGGAAGCTGGGGTGTTCGCGGCCGAGTCGAGGAACCGGGGGGAAGGCAGAACAGAGGACTGGGAGAGGGGACACCAGAGCGCAAAGCAAGCAAGCAAGCAAGCAAGCAAGCAAGCAAGCTGCGAGAGCGTGCGAATTGACCTGGAAAGGGTGTGTGGGTGGATTTTCTGGTGAGATTAGCCCGTCCCGTCTTGGTTAAGCAAAAGGCCGGGCTTATGAGATGGGGCGCGATAGGGGGCCTTCGATGACCACAGTCGTCGCCAAGTTTTCCGTACTGTCTAATCTTGTGCAGTGGATAGTGCAAATAATGCAGTTTTCGGCAGGGAATCACTGGCAAGAGTGACGTCCCCAGGCAGGTGCAACCATCGACATTCAATGTGGGGGCATCGCAGCACGGGCCACGCGGACACGGCCGCACACTGTGCTCGACACCAGACGACTATCGCGCTGCATCAGACGCCATGTCTCATCTCCCATTTCTCAATATCATGGCCTTATGCCCGCCGAGCTCATATTAGAGAAATATCCATGGTGGGAACACAAGAAAGGCTCCATCCCGGTGCAGGAGGGAGCTAGCCCCCCCCCCCCCCCCTTCTCCCCCCCAAACCGCTCCAGGTGCTAAAAGTACGATGGGAGACGACGATGCCTACTTGGACTTTAGAGCAATGGGGGGGGCTGACCTAGCAGTAGAAGCCTTCTTTTTTTTAACACCTTTTTCAGCTCGAGCCAACGGACTGAGTCGAGCTGATAATAAGCGGCAAGGCAGGCAGGCATATCGCGGGTTTGATGTTTCGTTAAATACTTGAGGCGACGAGGCGCGGTAGCCGTTGCTGGGAACATCCAAGCTGTTCAAAGAACTGCGCGCCTGTGTCTCCCGAGGGGTGAGATTGCATCGTGTCCTAGCTCTTTATTGACCCTATCGCTCGGCATCCCGGTTCCGTCATTTCGTTTTCCTTGGACTTTCCTATTCTTCAAGGCGGCCCCGCTGTCACAGATAATTCCAGCCACGAGAGCAACACAAACCAGAGAGCCCACAACCCTGTCCAGATAGAGAGAAAGAGAGACATTCTGAGGGTGACTTGTCTGACTCTGCTTCCGACAACCGACCGACCTGCCTGGGTATGGTGCTGACTGTGCTGCCTGCAATGAATGAGGGCGCCGGTCGTCGCATCCGATGATGCACTCCTTACCCGTCCCGATTCAATTCTTGGTGCCCTGGTTAGCTTTGAGCCTTCGGAAAGCGTGGTAGCGGATGCTTCCACCGCCGCCTCTGCGTGAGGGCGCTGGCTGGTCCAACGCCGGATCAGAGACAGGGTAAACTCAACCGGGCGCTTTCTCATTCAATGCGTGCCGGACCCCCCGTAGCAAGAGATTTGACCCGGGAGCCGCGGCACCATTTGACAACCCCCCGGTCAGCTTACCCTTTTCCTATTTTCCCCCCCTTTCTTTTCCTCTTTTTTTGTTCTTTAATTGGGTTGACGACTCGGGCGCGTAACAGATGAAGGGGACCCTACGTGCTAAGCTAGATGAGTGGTCGAGAGTCGAGAGCAGGGTGGAAAAAGAGCTGCAGCGCATTGCCTGCAACCACCACTGCTTGGCCGATGCTCGCTACCCGGTGCTTAGCGCATGAGGATATTGGGCGGTTCGGGTTTGCCTCTTCCATGTCCATTGTGTCTCCTGTCGGTCTGATATTCGCAGTTTCTCGTTATCACTCTCACTCGGCTTGTTTGCTTGTGTACCAACCTCTGTACGCATCAGGCAGAGTCAGTGAGTTTGTCGACAATTCCGCCAAGCCTCGACAGCCTTGCAATCGAGCAACCACTTGCAGCCCGCCACCCCAAGTCCAGTCCCCAAGGATTCCACAAGCCTCGAAAGCCGCAAGGAAAGAGAACATCCCTCCCTCCCCCCCAGCCAACTAGTGGATAGATGCGACAAGCTCTCATAACTGGTGGAGATCCAGTCCACCCTTGGCCATATTTCCCATCGCTTCTCATTGGCTATGTTACCGCCCGGTCGAGTGACGGATCTCTGGTTGGGTAACCCACTCACTCTCACACACGCACACACACACACACTCTCTCTCTCTCTCTCTACCTCACTCTTACCTTCACACTCACACTCCCTCATGCAACACTCCATCTCATTCACATGCCATAGGAAGCCAAATGAAGAGAGCCACTCGGGTGCACGCATCCCACAACAGGGGGGGAAGAGGTTCAACCGCCATGCAAAAGGGAAATACCACCGTGCGGTAAGGCCTTCCCGATTGCGCACCCACTACGACTCTTCCAGGAATCGTCCAGGGTGTTGATCCCCCGGGCGAATTTCCCAAGCACGTTTCCCAACGTGGATGTCTTGCGCCGGTTCCTGTTTCTGCGTCCCACCAGGGTTTTTTCCTTTTTGTCCCCCCTCTACCTACCTAGTTAATGTACGGATAGTGCACGTTATCCGTACCGCGGACGGAACAGCCTTCTTCTTCCCATCCCTTGCTGCCTTACGGTGTCTCTCTTCCCTTGCCGTGGCACAGCTCCCCGTCGTCTGTCCACACGATGGCCAGGTCCAAAAAACGTTGGAAACTCACCCCGGAAAACTCAGCCAGACCATGGTTAGTGCATATTGGTTTTGACGGAAAACTCTCTCGGACTGTGTCCCCCCCCCCCCAACGGGCCACGGCCGCAACATCCGACGAAAGACCCTCATACCCCAAAGACAAAAAGACACACAATGGGTGTTGAGGCTGTTGGGTGGTCCAGAAAGCTCCCTATAAGTTTCAACCACAAACGCTAACACCGCGGCGGCAAACTCCGTTAACACTCTGCTCAACCCACACACGGGGAAGAGAGAGAGAGATTCATAGGCAGTCGTGCCGTGCAGTGCATGCAAAGGCTATTTCGCGGGGCCAGCCCAGGTTCGGTCTCTTAGTTTCCCACCTCCTTCATACTGGTACACTCCAAAGAGAGTATCAGGACAATATTTCTTTACTTACTATTGGATCGCTCAATATTCGTGAGCAAGATCCCCCCCAGCCGTCAGGCCCGGCCGTCAACTCGACGTATCACTAACCCCCCGGCAGTCTCAGCAAGTGCAAACGAGGACACGTAGTTGAAGCGAGTGCTGTTTGCCCTTCTTTACCCCTTAGCCATGGCATTGGTACCTTGGAAAACACGGAGCAGTGTAAGAATGCAATTTGACAAGGCTAGTCTGTCCTAAGCTGCCTGTCTACCCACAGCTTTCACCGTTTATGCCTCTGCCCAAGTCCCTGGTCTGGTCCACTTCCATTGTGGCGGACATAGAAGGTCGAGGCTTCCGAAGACACTGCCAGTCTAGTAGAGACATCAGAAGGGTTGGTTTATAGTTGATGATTCAATGTCCTTCATATGTGACCTGTCCTAAGCATAGGAAGCAGCCTCACAAGCACTGCGCCGCGTCTTTGTTCCCTCTCGATGCCTTTTTGACAAGAATCTGAGTCTCGAACATGGCGACCTCGTCCTCGGGAAAGGGGTAGGATGTGTACTCCTCCTTTTCCATCTTCCTTGTACGCGCAGAGTCAGGATCGGAAATCCAGGGACTGCGGATATATCAGCTTTTATTACGGCTCTAGTCTTTGAGCAGGGTTAGGCAAACCTGATCCACGTCTCACTGCCGTCGGGGAACCTTATATGTTCCCAGGCCATCTTATCCATTTCAGCGGGTGTTTCGTTATCCCAGATGATGACGGCTGGCCTGGCCAGGTCCGTTACGATCTGCTTGACAGGTACAGTCGGAGCGACGCTGAAGACCAGCGTGTGTTCGTCGACGTCGAGGAATCCCTGAGGATCATTAAGCACCACGATGTTGCGGCTCTTGAGAAATTCGATGGAGGCTTGGGTGTACGCTGGATCTTGCGAGTAGCATCGAATCTCCCGCCCGGTGCGGTCGCCTAGTATTTGTGCCAAAGTCAAGGCGACCGCGTGCTGAATATGACATCGAGGCGCGGAGTGTCCGCTACATATATGGTATTCATCATCGTCGGAATCAGGGGTCAAGTCGCCTAGACCGAAGCAGATGATTTTGTTGATTACATTGGGGGTCAAGACTAGGGATAGGATGTCTTTGAGCTCTCGACATTGCGGGCTCTTCTTCCACGTCTTCTCGTGTTCCTCGAACGCCGTGCCTATCTTACCAACGGCTAAGGCGATTTGGTCTGTAGTCATTTGGGAGGGCAGGGTGGTGCGCTCCACGTCTACAGAGCAACAAGGTTTTGGAAGTTCGTCTGGCTGATCCGATGGCGACGGGATGACCAGGCGCTGAATGGGTCTGTAGTTGATTGAGAGTGTTTCGCTGTCAACATTCCTGTTAGTCCTCAAATCGCATCAAGGGTCTGCTGTCACCCACTCTTCCTCAAAGTGATCCCATCCGATAGGATCCCAGTTCATTTTCCCATCCATGCCCTCGATCTGGAAAAGACGGCTCTTGTGGGCTATTTGCTCCGCAAGACTGGCCAGTTGACTCTTGGTAAAGAGTGGCTGGCCGGCATCGTAGCGCTTCTGAAGCTTTCTCGAGAGCTCAAGACGCTCTTGTCGCCAAGCAAAGCTATCTGACTCCTCTATTTGCTCCTTGTGAGCGGCGTCATCGTTCTCCATAGTGCTGTTGGGTTCTTTGGGTCTCCGTGTTGCTAATGTGCTTTCCTGTTCGGATAACCCTGTGTTGAATGTCAGTGATGCTAATCAACTGCGATATACTGCAAGGTCCCTGCGATATCGTTGTTGGACGGGTTAACTGATAGATGGATGTTTAGCGGATGATTGAAAGAAGATGGTTGTAGCCCTGTTGGACCGAAGCTCTGCTTGTTTCGTTCTAGCAAAGCCTGCTTGGCCTTTCCCTCTGGGCCACAGCCGAAGGAACGCTTCTTTCCTCGCAGCTCGCAGCATCCCGGAATAAGGCTGCAACGGATGTCGCTCTACCGTTCTTGCTTGTCAGAAAAGGCATCTCAAGGTTTGGAAGCAGGTCTTATCTTCCGTTCTTGCTCCTCTCACAGATGTCGATTGAAGCTAGGGGCTCTGTTTCCTGACAGGACATGCAGCAGTACACCATCTCAAGTTGCTCCATCACCAACCATGATGCTACCAACAACGGATCCGATGTCGAGCCCCCACCCCTCGCCCCCACCCCCATCCCCAATTAAGTGAGTTTCGCTTCTCGGCCCAATCTAACTTTCAACCCACTATGGCAATACCTTGGAAACAACGAGTAACATGGCTTACGATAGATAGAGTGAGAACGGAACGTCATTTCATTGTTCTGAGGAAGTGGCTCCCAGTTTTGACAGACTATTGAGACCCGCACTGGCATGTCTTGGCGCTCCCAATAATACATTTGAATGAGTGATCTCTTGAACATGAAGAATTGTGCTCAACCAGATCATCTTGCAACCTTCGCCATAGCCAATGGCCACCCACCATGAAGCTAACAGTAGTCTTATGAATGCCGTCCGCAGCCGTCACAGCGAGCTACTTAGTCTCCATTATTGCGTGTAGGAAGATAGGCATCAGAATATGCGCCAGACAACAATCATGACATGGTGCATCAGAGCAACCATTAAACATCGGGAGTTATCAACTACCACACACCTTCAATCCGGGGGAGAGCGTACCCCGGTCCGATGAAGTTTAGTTCCAAGATGTCATCATGTGACTAACTAGGTACCTAGGTACCCAGGTAACCACGCGCACCGAGTGCTGAGGTTCCCCCACATTCTTGGGGCATTGTCGTCTTGAATGTTATTCGCCCAAAGCGTCCCCCCGGGAGATTCTGGCGGAATTAGTGTCATCCCTACCGCAAACAGCCACTCACAAGCCCGGGAACTTTCGGCTCTCAGCGGCTGGCTAGGACCCCCTCCAGTGGGGTACCCAGAGCGACCGCTTTCCCCAAGTTATCCACCGGTTCGGGTGCTGCTGGCACTGCCTCGGAACTCCACTGCCCGCCGGCATTCACATGTCGTAATGCGATCACGAGCCAGCGTCCCCCAAAGCGTTCCTTTCTCCAACAGCAAACGACTCATGCCTCCAATGCGACCACGTGCTTAGCTGGAATTTCCCAAGCGTACACACACGAAGCTGAGACCGTCCGTCGCCATCGAACAAACAGAACCTCAATTGCGACGCATTCTGCGCTCCTCCATCCGTCGGCAATAGCGTCGCACATCTTGCAGAGTTGAGTTTCCATCCGGTGATGGCTGTGCATTCGTAGCAGCATCATACCCGCGGCGAGCCTGCCCGACTCGATCCCACCATAACCACTACGTACCGTAATCCCCGTCATCGTCGCCGCCATGGCCGAACAATCAACCCTCCGCCAATCGGCCGCAGAAGAGGCCATCGCCGCCTTCTTCGAGAAATACACAACCCTCATCCGCTCCCGCCTCCAAAGCACATCTCGCACAACTCGCCTGCTCGGAACACTTGCCCTCGCTGCATCCATCATCCTGGGCGCCGCAGGAGGCAGGCGCTGGTGGAGACAGCGCCGCGAGGAAAGGGAACAGGGCCGCAAGCTCGTCCGCACAAACTCGTGGCTGCACAATAAGGATGGCTCCCGCACAATTTATGTCCCTTACAAGGATGGCACCTCCAAGGTCGTCATCCAGACGACCAAGCCGCTGACATTCGAGGCCCATCGCCGGCTCTTCCTCAACCCGCCACGGGTGTCCGGCCTCGGCGACGGTACCGTACCCGCGGCGCAGACCAAACCCGGGCTGAACTTGGCTTTTCTGCACCAGTTTCTGAGTCTGATGAGCATCATGATTCCGAGATGGTCGAGCAAAGAAGCCGGCTTGCTCCTAAGTCACAGCGTATTCTTGATGCTTCGCACATACCTGTCCCTTGTCGTCGCCCGACTTGACGGTGAGATCGTGCGCGATCTCGTCGCAGGGCAGGGCAAGGCCTTTCTCTGGGGACTCGTGAAGGTGAGTGACCGCGGGGATATCCCAACTCTTTTTTCGTGCTAATAGGAAACGTAGTGGTGCGGTCTTGGAGGTTTTGCATCGTATACCAATGCGATGATCAAATTTCTTGAGTCCAAGGTGTCCATCGCTTTCAGGACCCGTCTTACTCGGTATATCCACGACCTCTACTTGAACAACAACCTAAACTATTACAAACTCTCCAATTTGGATGGAGGCGTAGGCCAGGGTGCGGACCAGTTTATCACACAAGATCTGACATTATTCTGCGCCGCCGCGGCGAACCTGTACTCGTCGCTTGGCAAGCCTTTTGTCGACCTTTGCGTCTTCAACTACCAGCTCTTCCGGTCTCTGGGTCCGCTAGCTCTCACGGGGCTCCTGAGCAACTACTTCTTGACAGCAAGCATTTTGCGCCGACTTTCGCCGCCCTTTGGCAAGCTCAAGGCGGTTGAGGGCCGCAAGGAGGGCGACTTCAGGAGTCTGCACGCGCGCCTGATCGCCAATGCCGAAGAAATCGCCTTCTACGGCGGCGCCGATATGGAGAAGCAGTTCCTCAACAAAGAGTTCAAGTCGCTCAAGAATTGGATGGAAGGCATCTACATGCTCAAGATTCGTTACAACATGCTTGAGGATTTTATTCTCAAGTATAGCTGGAGTGCCTACGGCTACCTCCTGTCATCGCTACCAGTATTCCTCCCAGCGTGGGGTGGCCTGGGCGGCGCTGCCGAGCTGGACCAGAATGCCCCGAAAGGCAGCAGGGAGCGTGGTCGTATGAAGGAGTTCATTACCAACAAACGTCTCATGTTATCGCTGGCAGACGCTGGCGGCAGAATGATGTATTCTATCAAGGACCTGTCGGAGCTCGCTGGATACACTAGCCGAGTTTACACGCTCATCTCAACGCTCCACAGAGTCCATGCCGATGCCTACTTCCTTCGCGGACAACAAAACGAGCTGTACTCGCTTTCGGATGTCCAGGGAACCATCCAGAAGGGATTCGATGGAGTCAGATTTGAGAACGTGCCTATTGTTGCACCGTCACTGTGGCCCAATGGCGGCGACGAGCTGATGGAATCGCTCTCCATGGTCGTTAGGAGAGGAGAGCACCTTCTCGTAAGCCCACTTTGACTGGTAGAAAATTACCGCGCAAGCTAACGTTTCTAGATCTCGGGACCCAACGGTGTGGGAAAGACGGCGATTGCTCGCATTCTTGCGGGTCTTTGGCCAGTGTATCGGGGTCTTGTTAGTCGACCCAAGGATATTGGCCAGGATGGCATCATGTTTTTGCCGCAGAGGCCATATCTCAGCATCGGCACGCTCCGTGATCAGGTCATCTACCCCGATGGCCATCACGATATGCGTGAGAAAAGAAAGTCCGAAGACGACCTAAAGCGTATCCTAGAGGATGCTCGTCTCGGTTACCTTCCCGACCGTGAAGGTGGCTGGGACACCCGTAAAGAGTGGAAGGACGTTCTCAGTGGTGGTGAGAAGCAGCGCATGGGTTTCGCTCGTGTCTTGTACCACGAGCCTCAGTTTGCAATCCTCGACGAAGGAACCAGCGCTGTGTCCCAAGACGTCGAGGGACTTCTCTACGAGGTGTGCAAGGAGAAGGGAATCAGTGAGTAGAGCCATTGCGCATACCATTAAAAATATGCTAACAGCGAGCAGCTCTCATCACCATCTCAACTCGCGCTTCCCTCAAGAAGTACCACACCTACAACCTTATACTTGGAGGAGGAGAGCGCGGCGACGAATGGGAATTCGAAAGAATCGGAACGGAGCGGGAGAAGATGCAAGTCGAGAAAGAGCTCCAGGATCTCCGGGAACGCCTTGAGCAAGTGGAGACATGGAAGGCGAGACGGCAGGAGATCGAGGAAGAGCTCTCGCGTGTGTGGGTGGCTGGTGGTGACGAGTTGGACCCTCCGTCATATGCCGCGAGTGAGAGCGAATCGGCGAAGAGCAAGGGCAAGGGTAATGAGTCGCTGCAGGAGGTGCAGGGTGATGCTTAAGAGGAAACGCTCAGCTGATCCTGCATCTGCACGACCATCATATACCTCATTCATATACGGTTATCTGGTTATCTGGAAAGGAGGGTGATTTTCACCGTGTTCAACGAGAGAAAGAGCCGTGTATCAACAGTTTGGCTCATAGAACCGCGCGAAACATATGGCTTCCTCACTAAGTATATTTCCATAGTTTTAGGCTACGAACGGCCCATGTCTTCACGATGCAATCCACCCGTCTGCTCGTCGTTAACATTGCCATTCTAGCTTCGTGATCTCTGAGCCTCACAAGAAGCCCCCTCCAACCTCCGACTATAGTTCACTTCGTCGCTGGGATTGTGCGGCGAACGCCCTGCTGTAAACAGATAATCCAATTTGCGCCACCTTCAAGTTGATGCCGCGTAGACCTGGCCTCTCGAAAATGGCACTTTGCTAGTAGTTTCGTGCCGTCGAAACATGCGATCTCCTGCAAGCCAACCGCCACCCCCCCCCCCCCCCCCCTGAGCTAAGATTCGAAGGCCCCGCGCCACTAAACGACTCATTCCTCAGGAGATCCCTTGTTGTTCACGTCTTGAAGCGGCTAGCGATATCTTGCTCTCGATCTGTCGACCAATGGCGGCCCTGGCCAAACTGACGCTATCGTTAAGACTATCTTCTAAGCAGCCGCGACGTCGACATCCTGCGAGGGTCTTCGATGACGACGTGTCCCCTCCATGCTATCGTTGTCTACCGCCTTGCTTTACGATCCTTCCACCGGCTGGCCTGTACATGCAGTTCTGCAGGTATCTGCCCATTTTGGCCCTAGCGCCGGACGGTCTTTGACACCTCGAACCCTTCCGTGCAACCTTCGTCTTTGGGAGCCGCCAACACATTCCATTTCAAAATGTCTTGTTGCACCGCGCCTGTAGCCTCACCTCCTCACTGCTCAGAGGAACGCTCTTACTGTTCATTGGTTTTGGAACGCCGTTATAATTACGTGCTAAATGCCAGTCTACTGAATGTTACAGACCGGTTGCCCGTAGAGAGCTAGGACTCAGCTGAAGAGACCACACGTGGAGACGCCACGCATCGCCGATCTCAAAGGCTCAGCAGCGCTCGATATTCGGACTTGCCATATCAAGGCTTGACATGATCCGTCTCTCGGAGTGTTCCAGGCCAGATGGTCCATCTACCGCAGCTGAGGTGGCTGCCACTATGGCCGTGGCCTCACTACTGTGGTATTGCTTGATTTCTATGACAAGCTTTCCTCAGGGCACAAAATCTCAAACGCAGGTTTCCTTTGCTATTTCCATGCCTACTTCACACTACTCCTTTGTCTCTCTGAGCCGGTTGAAAGTGGCTGGCCATCCCCTCGTAAACCATCTGGCGTCCTTTGTTCGCCAACGTTGGCAGAGTTGTCAGCCCGAGGGAGAATAAACAACGATCACCGGCGCGTAGTGTTTTTTTTTCCGGCGCCCGTCGACCTGAGGGGGTTTCGCGGACTTATATCAAGCTTGATGTCTGAGACTTGTTCAGCGTTGATGCGGTTTTAAAATCCGATACTCCCACAAACCCAAAGCGCTCGACTCGGTTCAGTCAACGCCATTCGCCTTAATGCTCACAAGTCCCTCCCGCCAACCTCGATAGTCAAGAGCCGGGTATCGCAACTCAGTCCACCTACGCCTGCTGTATATCTTTGGATTTGGAAGTCGTCCGCGCCTTGTAACGGCAAAGTAGCTAAGCGAGAGGCGACGGCATCTTAATCTCTTCGGTTCTGTTCCTCTTCCAGGGAAGACGACATCCGCAATAAGCCAGGTTGATAAGTCGGGTCATAGACGGCCACTCTTGTTAGCATTGTTTTCAAGGAGTCTACCGCATACAAGGACTTTTCAACCTTCTTTTCCGCATCCACAACTCGACACGATGCCCAAACCCTCAACCTTTGGCCGCACCACGAAGACGGTTGGCCGCATGCCAGTCATCTCGGAAGACGGATCTACCACGGCCGTCACACGCCCATCGCCCACGGCACTCGCTCCTCCTCCGCCATTTCGGAGCACAGCACCGAGATCCTACGGCCGCTCTCCCACAGGACGACCCATCTACCCGCATCCGTCTTACCCCCCTCCGGCCTACTCCCGCAGCCCATGTCGAGATAGTATCCGGAACGCCCTCGGCACACGTAGCAGCCTCAGCACACGCAGTACAAACAGCCTACGCAGCGTCAGCAGTATCGATAGCAATGGAAGCATCTTGAACTCGGGCATGTCGACTCCCAAAAGCTCCTACAACGAGAACGCCGGGCTTCTGCCCAGCACGACGCGGGCGGGCCAAGACGCGCTCGGAGAAAAGAGAAGAGGCTCGAAGTGGGTTGCCCGCCGTAGAAGCTGGTACCGGCTGATCATCCTCGCCGTCATTGTCATTGGCCTCACTGTGGGCTTATCAGTCGGTCTCACACTTTGGAATCGCCAGTCGTAGGTATCCATTTGACAGTCGGATCCCACTCGGCACGACTAACACCTTAAGACAAGCAGACAACCCGTAGTGACCGCTGGCGCGTCAAACGACACAAATCTCTTCCCCGCTGGCTCCTTCGCCTTCAACACTGCCCTCCTGGACGCCGAGACGGGCTGCACCTCTGACTCTTCGACCTGGCGCTGCTTCCCCGACCGGACCTACTCGCAATCCCCCAACGCCTCCGTCGCGACCTTCTTCTGGACGATATCCCGGCCGAACTCGTACACCTACCAAATCTCGTCATCACCGTCGTCGAATCCCTATTCCCCTCAGTTTTCGGGGGAGACGATGACGCTGGTGGGGGGCGACTCGCTCGACGAGCGTCTTGTCTTCAACTTCTCCCTCCCCAAGACCGTGGCCCTCACGGACGCTCTCGCGCAAGGCGGCCACGCAGCGATGTGTGCTTTCCCGGACACGGCGTTCCGCGCGACGTTGTGGACGAGGCGGAACGCTACGACGGCACTCGCGCAGTCCGGGGGGACGACGGCGACGGCGGACAGCGCCGACGGCAATGCCAGGTGGAGGGTGTGGCCTGGCCAGATAGAGATCGAGCAGGTCAAGACGGGAGGGCCGGATTGCAAGGACCCCGCGGGAAAAGCGGTCAGAGTTGCGGCGGGGAATGGTCAGTGTAATTGCCTGTATGCTAACTTCGACTTTGTCGTCCAGGAGAAGCGGAGGAGGCGGCGGGCATGTGATAGGAGATAGGAGGCGGTGACACATGATCACATTCTAGACCTGGATGCAAGATACCCTACATAAAGCCACTAATTTTCCAGAAACATATTGTAACACCTAACAAAGCTCGGGCCAAAGAACCGTCCCGCTATAGCGCCAGCCATACAATGTATCATAAAACATCATCATCTTGGATACCCGTCCTAAGCCGTACCGTCGTGACTTGGGCGCGGAACCAGCCGACGCCGCTCTCCATCAGGGGTCACGCACCTCGCCGCCGTCCTCAGCAGCCCTTGGCCGGTTGCCGCGAGCACCAATGCGGTCGTTTCCAACTACTGCTGCCACCAAGGCCAATCTTCGAGCCTCGCTTGGCCTTGCGGCGCTGCATACGGTTGCTGCCGCTGCTGTTGATGTTGATGTTGCTGCTGCTGCTGCGGTGGCGGCTGGAAAGGATTTTCTCCGTACTGGGCATGTACGTTAAAGTACCCGCCCGGCTGAAAATTTGCCGCACTTACGTTCTGCTGCATCTGTTGACCGCCAAAATCGAAGGCGTCCGGCTGTGCGCAGAACAGCGGAATCCCTTGCCATTGCTGGGGCACCTGGGGCACCTGTGGCACCTGTGGCATTTGCGGCATCTGCGGCATCTGAACCCCGAAGTTGAAGTCGAAGACGTTCGGCTGTGCACCGAACGCCGGAATTCCTTGCCACACCGGCATCTGCGGCACCTGCGGCACCTGGAAGACCCTGGGGTCAACGGCTGGGGCTTCGTTCCAACCGCCCACGCCCTGGTTGGGACCCGGCGCGGGCCGCAAGGCTAGCGCGCTGTGTTGAAATCTGGGACGCTGGTTGAGCGCGTTTGACACACGCCTGGGCTGCTGGAACGCGGCGTGGATTACGGGCTCGGCTTCGGTCCTCCGACGGGGCGCGTGGCGCTGGGCATCCCCTTCCTCGTCATCGTTGTCGTTGTCGTCGCCGCCAGGAAGCCTCCTCTTGCGCCCGTTGTCTCCCGGGTTGCGTGGCGAGGAGAAGAACTCCTGCGCCCAGGTGGCCACGACCTCTTCTGGCTCGAGGTCGTTGGCGCCGAGCCGATCCTCAATGATGCGCATGAGTAGGCCGAGGGAAGGCCGTTGGACGGGGTCCTCTGCCATACAACGCTGAACGAGGCCCCTGAGCTCCTCGTCGACGCCGTTGAACCGCTCATTTTGGAGGGCGCCTCCCCATGTAACAATGTCCTGGCCGTCGGGGAGCCTGTATTTCATGGCCGTGAGCGGCTGGAAAGCACAGAGAGTAATGGCGCACCATATCTATAAACAAAGGTTAATCTATAGCATATAAGTGAGCCAGGGCAATACACTTACAATGACGCCGACCTGGAAGATGTTGGAGTGCATTCCGTAGTTGCCAGCAACTGGAGGCTTGGTGCCATCTGCTGCCACGAAGTAGTTAGGGAGATTGTCGTCAGCCAAGTAGGTTTGTAAGTCCAGGTGGTCCCATTGTCTAGTGAATTGTTCCTGCACAACAATGTCAGCTGTTAGACCAGTGGTCGGGTGATGCCATCCTTTTGGGTTGCTTACCGGTGTAAAATAGTTACCCTTTCCGCTGAATCGACACTTCCAGAAGAGGTCCTTGCTATAAAGAGGACATCGGTCAGCTTTGCAGTCTAATACGGAAGGCGGGGTGGAAAACTCACTCAAAGTAGGCTGGGTTGGTAGCACACTCGCTGAAGAACTGGACGGACCCAAAGTCGGCAATCTGGGCTGGTTAGCTCAAACGATGCTTACAGTTTATGGAGGGAGGAGCATCCGTCATACCTTGAATATGGGCATGTTGCCATTATCCACGCTGCTGCTTGCTAGAACTGTTGTACTAGTCAGCCATCTTCGACGTATACAAAAAGCCTCTCGCAGCTTGACCTACCATTGCTCGGCTCAAGGTCAAAGTGAGTCGTCTGCTGGGGGGGATAGTGCTCGCTCATGGGGTAGTCATCCGGGAGGTGCTCATCGATGGGTTCGTTGGGATTCCATTCTGGTCGATCCGCACCGCCGAAAACCTCCTTTGGAGGGTAGCCCATACCGATGAGGCCCTGTGTAACTGTATGGTGTCAATGTTAGCAAAGAACATGTCAGCTGTAGCATTCCAAGAGTCGTTCAGTAACTTACGGCTCCTGAAGAGCATCCAAATTGCTCGCACCGGCCAGGGGGTCCTGCTACGGCTGGCTTTGCTGAGCCACACATTGAGATCTCCTTGAGCCGCATGCTCGACAAAAACGAAGTTACGTATTGGCTGACGAGCAAAGTCATCTAAGCTCCATGCACGGTCTAGCCCTTCGTTACAGAGCTGCGGTAACGGATCCGGGGCTGCGTGGCCTGCTGCGTACAAGCCATAGCTTGTGTCTCTCTCCGACTTGATGAGCTGTGTGACGTCTAAGAGTTGCAGAATGTGCTTTGCACCTTTGAATTTCTGGGATTGTTAGAGGACATACCAAGGCGCCATATCCGTACCGGACGGGGTCCACTTACCGTCAGGGCCTTTTCCTCCCTTGCAAGCGTTCCATGGACATGATGCCGGTATCTCTCCAGCTTCAACACACAAGCGAGCGTATCCCCCTTTTCGTCGATGCAATGCACAAGTGCGACGATTCCAAAGCGACCCGCGCCGATTATCTTCTTCACTGAGACGCCGTAGCCCTTGTGATCGTTTTGACCCCATTGACCATATTTTGCCACGGCTTCATCAACATCCGCCGTGCTGAACTCCCGCGTTGCATACGGTTGAGACAGTCCTAGGGGCTCTGTGTCGAACACAGCGTGTCCGTAACGTTTTTTGGTCAGTGTGCCGTTATCTTTGTATTTGTTGTATTTCTCTCCTCTCACGGTAGCCATTCTGGCTGTGCTCTCATTTCTCAGCCGCTGCCTATATGTTTGCAGGCTTTCTCCAGGACCCCGACACGGACAATCAGGCTGGTGGGGCCCATTTTCAAACTGCTGTTGTTGTTGGAAGGCGCCTCGTGGCATTATGACGAATCGTACTCTCAGAGCCCTGTGCCAGTCTCTAGGACGTCTAAGATTCTCACGACGCTGGGGAAGATTTGGTCAGTCGGAACGTGTCGAAGTTGATTGTGTAGTTGTTACTATGTTTTCTCGAATATTGTCTGGGGATCATTTCAGTTATTGAGAACTACGGAGGGAATCCAGGTATATTTGTGCACATGACCAACGGGTATTGATCTTGAAGACACAATGAATTTCCCAAAGCGACAAGGAAGAAAAGTAGGAAGTGTCTAATTCGGGAAGATAAAATCCTTAAAACAAAGCAGAGTACCTCATCGAGAAGTGATGATTTTGGAAGCGCACGAACATGGAATAGTGACTCCATTGTCACATTGTCACTTGACATGGCGGTGCTCCAACTCGTGTATATGACGTTTGTCCTCGACAACATCTTGACAAAGGGGGCTTCTTGAGTTGAGCATAGACACATTTCTTGTTGACAAATGTCACTCTGTCCTGAGTGTCGAATACGACTACGAATAGTCGATCGAGTCCGTGCCGTACAAAGGATCAATGTTCTTAATTGTCTGGGCCATAAAGCGTCCAAGGACTCAAAAGACAACAACCCAGCCATTGGTCCGCAAGACAAGAGGACGTGGGGAGGCGACTATTAGAAGAGTCGCCAAGGGCCGTCTGGTGGAAGAAGGAATGCGGCAGGTACAACAAGTGAGAAAGTCGGTCGGTTCCACCCGGATGAAGTGCAAAGGGGGTGTCCAAGGCGGCCGGCAGTGACTCCACGAGCCGGTCCACATGGAGTAAGTTGCACTGGCAAATGTGTCAACGAGTCGACGAACAGGGTGCAAGACATGACGCGTGTGAACCGAGTCCCGGTTAGTGTTATCTAACGGTCGTAGGCGAACCAAAGATCCGGTGCTTGGGTATTCGTGAAGCGGTATTTGTGAAGCGGTATTTATGGGAGGCGTCAATGCATTAGTGGCTCAAACACTGTGCATGCCTCTCTGAATCGATTGATTGAGAAACGGAAGCGACATCGTATAGCAAAAAGGAGAGACGCTCTTGGTGCCGCTCTAAGTGGATGAAGTCTGCAGAGATGAGAGAAGCGTTGACGATGGAAGAAAAGAAGCCAATTAGCCGCGTCTGATGGTCTTTAGGCTAAATTCGAAAAAGCGGGTCATCGACAAGATCCACTCTGTATCTACGGTACGTACCATGGGCACGTACCGTTACTTCCAGCACGATTGTCACGAGAACGAGAATACAGAAAAACACCAGTCTGAGATGGAAAGAAGAACGAAGGGAAAAGGCAATGCAACTCGACAGTCTTTTGTCGACAGAGTTAAATAGCATCATATGGACGCCGTTCCTGAAGTTTCCTATTCTTTAGGAGGTGGACGGCTCTTAGAAGACCCTTCCCGGTACGAAAAGAGCCAGTCGCAGAGCACGAAAACCGCCCTGAGCCAGCCTAAAATGCATAGATACTATGGTAGTACGATCTGATGCTGTGACGTATGTACGCCGCCATGTTACTGCGAAGAAAACCCCCCTTTCTTGATGCTTAGCCATGCGTATTTGCCTTGAGTTACGGATACTTCATCATCCATTGGTTTCCCTGACAGAGCAAGTCATGATAGCCAGCGGCGAGTCGTCTTCCAGACTCTCAGGCTGATTTAAACGCACAAATGGGTGTGTCCCGTTGTACGACGACCACCCCCCTCCCCCCCCTGTTATACACACCATTCGAGGGTAGCTGGCTGCTGCTTTTTACACAGCCTATCCTTCGCTTTTGCCCGTGGTGGAAACTATTTTACCCGGTCGTCATGTCGATGGACCAATAGGTTTCCCATGCCATCCAATGTCGGGCTCCCTTCAAAGATAAAACTCCATACTTCAACGATCACCCCTGACCGGTTGGTCGGCCTCAGAAGGGAGGGGCTGAACGATCTATGTGCACTTTTGCCTATCGGCCCCTTTCACCCCGCTGCCTACCTCCAGCCCCTCCTGCTCTTGATACCCGCGCCA